TATGTTATGTTCGATACGTAACGTTCAATATGCTAGCACTGAGTTCAATGTATAAACGTTACAGTCTTCATTTGCAGTGGATAATTTCATATAGCATTTAGTACCAATTAGCAAGATACGGATAGTTGTTTAAGTTTTGTGAATTGTAGTACTTGTAATGATGCGGTTGATAGACTACAGCCACTTGCGTGAATAGTCTATACAAAGCCACTCAAGGTCAAGCTTTACAGTGAAGCACAGTGCGTGATTATTTATAAGCAGAATTTGAGATTGTGTATTGCCATAGGTTGCTAAAGCCTGTCCTGTGTACGGAACAGTTTACACGATGTGAACAGTTATCAGTTATTTCTTAAATACTAAACCTGATTTGCCAGTGTATTGTATCGTGACATGTACGGGGTAATCTATTATCCTGACTTTCCTGTTTGTTACAGTTTTTACGGAAGGAATGTTAAGGAATGTCAAGGAATGTCAAGGAATGTCAAGGAATGTCAATAAAACGGAATGTCAATACGTTTCAAATACAGAGACACTTTCAGTGAAAACTTTACTCCTCGAGAGCGACACTCATCATGTCTGCAGACAACCAAGTTTGAAGAACAAGGTCAGATCCGAAGCCATCAGAGAGCGGACTCCAATATCAGATCGATTTTGAAGGAGAAAGAGTTTCGGAAAAAGATTAGATGTTGGCGTCAGGCTGGCAACAATTTGAGGGTCGCTCTGACTGACGATGAAGTCATCATGGCTATAAAGCAGCAACGTGATACGGTTCAGACAAGGTTGCAGTGGACAAGGTCACGGAAGTGCAGGAGTCTCTTTCCAAGCTTAGAACGACCTCGAACATGGAAGACGAAAGTCTAGACAGGATCGAAGAGGTGGAGGAAGAACACGCGACGCTGATGAAGCAAACACATGAGAGATTGCTCATTCTCCAGGGGGACTCCGTTTCTGGGACTCATTCAGCCTCCTCCAGGGCTAAACGTTCGAACAGGTCTCCTCGTTTTCAAAGTATAACTTACTGTCAAGGATGGGTCGACGATCAGGCACAAGATGACCCACCAATGGAGGATGGGAGGCCTGCAACTCAAGATAATCAAACCAGCAACTTGTTGACGGCAGGTCTGATTGACCAGGTAAAGATGAGTCGCTTGCCCCCACCAGAACCTACGGCGTTCGGTGGGGATTCTCTTTAATACCCAGCCTGGAAGCAAGGATATAACCTCCTCATCGAGAAGAGAGGGATTCCACCAGAAGACAGATTCTATTATTTGTTAAAGTACTTGAAGGGGCAGCCCTTGGAGCTTGTGCAGGGGTTTTCTCTGCTTGGTGACGAGATCGCCTACTCTGCAGCAAAGAAGGCACTAGGAAAACGCTATGGAGATCCCTTTGTGCTTTCTAACGCCTACAGGGAAGCGCAGATTGGTGAGCTGGTAATGTTGAAAGAAGAGGACGTACCTCGAAACCTTTGGGCAATCGCCAGGATCCTTGAACTATACCCCTCTAAGGATGGTCATATACGCAAGGTTAAGGTGGCTATTGTCGACCCGAAAATTAATGCAGGGGGACAACGAATACGTCCCCTGCGTTCTTATGACCGTCCGATTCATAAATTAGTGTCATTAATACCGCGGGAGGACCAGGAGTAATTCCCGATCGGGGAACCTCTCGACATTCGATGGCCTTAATTTCCCAACGCAGATACCTAGTAAATTAGAGGTACTAATTTAGAGGAGCCATGTAGCGTTCGCTTGTTGAATGGTTACTTTACTCCACGTGATAGGGCCACCTGGTGGCGACTGCGAGAATAGAAAAGAACCAGTCTGTGCTGTTCTTAGTGAGGCCATTGCCAGCTTTTTTAGTGGAATCCTTTCCACTGGGGGTTTCCGTTTGTTTATTTCACTTCATTATAGAAGCAAAAAGGTTAGTAAAGCATGTGACTCACACATATTCGTAGAAACGGGGTTCAATATGTAAACGTTAGTGTAGCGCCGTATTCACGGTGCTCGAATAGAGTTACTATGTTATTACGTTAAGTCAGAGCCAAGAATACAAGAAAGCCAGTGGTTACGATGATTTAGTCGTTTACTGTGTTTCTACGAGTGGTTACAGTCGTTGCCGCGGTCGTGTCTGCCGGTGCCTGGGTGAAGCCAACTGCCCCGATTCTCCCCGGCTCTCGGCTTATATACGCCAGCCACGACCGCGTAACCTACATGAGTCCCGCGTGTGCGTCACGCGTGCGTCACGCGTGCGTCATCTATAATCCTTTAATCCCGCAATATCACATCAAAGGGAGAGCCCCTTTGAAGTGCCGCGCGAGAAGTGATAACCAATCGAGCTGTGAAGTGCCGCGGATTAGCCAGCTCAATTTCGGCTCTAAACTCAATCACTTTGATCCCGCAATTTCACATCAAAGGGAGGGCTTCTTTGAAGTGCCGCGCGCGAAGTGATAACTAATCGAGCTGTGAAGTGCCGCGGATTAGCCAGCTCAATTTCGGCTCTAAACTCAATCACTTTGATCCNTGTGGTGGTTTTCTTTGCACGTGCAGCATACTCTATGTAGAATACCACCGAGGCAACGTGTGAACAAGATTCGCCAAGCCCGGCTTTACAATTACAGTGCGCTGACATTGTAGCGCCGTATTCACGGTGCTCGAATAGAGTTACTATGTTACTACGTTAAGTCAGAGCCAAGAATACAAGAAAGCCAGTGGTTACCATGATTTAGTCGTTTACTGTGTTTCTACGAGTGGTTACAGTCGTTGCCGCGGTCGTGTCTGCCGGTGCCTGGGTGAAGCCAACTGCCTCGACTCTCTCCGGCGCTCGGCTTATATACGCCAGCCACGACCGCGTAACCTACATGAGTCCCGCGTGTGCGTCACGCGTGCGTCACGCGTGCGTCATCTATAATCCTTTAATCCCGCAATATCACATCAAAGGGAGAGCCCCTTTGAAGTGTCGCGCGAGAAGTGATAACCAATCGAGCTGTGAAGTGCCGCGGATTAGCCAGCTCAATTTCGGCTCTAAACTCAATCACTTTGACCCGCGCACTCCCGCTGTCTCGAGAGAGAGATAGGATTCATCTCTCGAGTGCTTCTGCCTTCTCGGCCACAGACACGCCCCCCACTTAGAGCTCTATCGAGCTTCTAAGCGAGGAGCGCGGGAGATTACGGGAGATTACGGGAGATACAGATACGCGGGCCTAAACTAATTCAATCACGCACCGCTACACTTGAAACGCTGCCAGGACGTCGATGCTAGCACCTAAGTGCCAGCATCGATCCTGTAGCAATCGCGTAATGAACGCGCACTCCTCTCCCGACCACACCTCCTGAGTGTCCGAGCGAGGAGCGCGGGAGAGATGCGCAGACCTAAACCAATCTAATTACAATTCAAATACGCTCCTATCAGACGCTACCAGGACGTCGATACTAGCACCTAAGTGTCAGTATCGATCCTGTAGCAATCCTGTAATGAACGCGCACGAGGAGCGCGGGGGAGATGCGCAGACCTAAACCAATCTAATTACAATTGAAATGCGCTACTACAACATGACTGTTCCATTTTCTCTCATCATAACCCACGGATGGAGAGACGGTATATTCATAGACTGGGAGTGCATAACACGTGCTCGGAAAACGTAGATGGGGCACTCATTGTTCACATCATAGATGTAGACAGATACACCTCTCACCCAACCGCAGACCAGTCGATCGTAGGCATCCAGGCTTTTGTAGTTCTGAAAGTCCTTGAGAGTATAAAATCGACTTGGCTGGAATGTTAGGTAGTTCACGAGATCCAAATGTGTGTTTGATGGGAAAACATTGTGGTCCTCACTCCATTCGGCATTGTCTAATTGGTACGGGTCTCGATTCCCAATGCACACAATTTTCTCGAGATAGCGTGCTTTGGCTATGTTGTCTAGTGAATCAAAGTACTTATCCATACTACATACACTACAGGCAGTCGACAAACGTGCATACACTAGCTATTATAAAAAGCTGCGTTTGATAGCTAGAATAGATGCAGTAAAATCTGTGAAATTTCTGAACTCTCACGATGTAAACAAACTCAAGTCTATGAACATATGTGTTGCATGCAATCTTCCAATCTGCTCAATCTACGAATGTGCCGACTGTGTGGCAGCATCATTGAACTCGAGCACCTAAAACCCACGATGGTAAACCTGCTTGCAAAACCGGGCCTGCGCAATCTCATCGAACTAGCAATTAACACAACCCACGCTGAATACCTGCCTGCAACACCCTGTAAAACCGGCGCCCATTAACCGGGTCGGCACAATCATCTCGAATTCTAGCACACCAAAACCAGCTGATAAACCTGTCTGCAAAATCGGGATCCACTTATTACTGCTAATATCTATTGCAATAATAACACTATAGCCAATGTAAAATCGGTTGATTGTGCAGATCAGCAGATTACATGCAACACGTGTTCGCTCTTTTTGGAACCAATATGGCCGGCGGCACGGGATTGTAGGTAATATTGCTATTTTTAGTGCAAGTCGCGGAACCTTCTATAGCCCGCGCACAGTTGCCGCAGCCGCCTGCGGCAACTGTACGCGGGCAATAGGCCTGGTTTTATTTTGCACCATTTTGCGCATGAGCTTGGGCCTTCACTACACAATTTGTTCTGTCAATCCTATGATCTAGGTTCTCTTGTATGAGTCGCGAGTAATGCTTCATACTTCGTAAATGTGGTGTGTGTATCAGTATGTACAGTACTCCATTATTGTATTCGAAATTGCGAGCAGCGTTACTTTCTTCACTACAGCATCGAGTTAATTTACGATCGTATTAATTGCATCGAGTACGACTCGGCTTAATTTACTGCGCAGTGCTGTGCAGGAATCTCTTCTTCTGCATTCATACAAACTGTGTCATTAAAAAAACTGATGCAGGCTAATAAATACACTGGTAACATATAGCATCATTTATAAACAGTTACACGTCTGTGTAATTCATATCTTATTTTTCACAGGTACTCTCAAAGATGCCAAAGAGAGAGAGAGGGATATTAGGTTTTGTGAAACCCTCAACACCAATTCTCTTCAGTGCTCAAGGAGAGACATGGCCTTCTGACGACTCAGATGATGACTATGGGACTTCTATTAAAGTCAAACCCAAGAAAAAAACGAGGAAAAAACGTACCAATCGCTATTCAAAGACCTGCAAGGAAATTTCACCTGACCGCCAAGCAACAGATAATGCATGGCAATCGGCTGTACCTCCAGAGATACTGTTCAAGATATTCAAGCATGTTACTGACACAGAAGGAGCGCTTCCGTTCCTTTGCAGGTTGTCCGAGCAATTCTAAATACCAGTTGCGTTGAACTGGGTATTTACGTTCAATTTCATACCTTGCAAATGAACTGTACAGGGTTACCATTATACATTGTGCCCGATTAAAAACGGAGTCACTGTGAAGAAATAATAGTATACATTATAGATATACATAATATCTTGTCGCCAGAGTCTACAACTACTTTGCCCCCTCACACTATTCACAGTTCCATTCTTTTGCAGGGTATCTGCAGTATGCATTCTTTGGCACAGGGTTGCATCAGATGAGCATCTCTGGTGTAATGTAGACCTGTCATATGGTTGGATAAAGAAGCAGGCATCTTGGTTGCTGTGGCTGTCTGAACACAGGTTGCAGCAAGTGCGTATCCTCAATCTATCTGGATGGAAAATATCTGATCTCAAAGTAGAGTCTGCCTTGAAGGTTTGTTTGCGAGTCGATTCAAGATTCATAATTCAAATATATTTACATATAACCGTGTATATATTAGGTACATGTCTACATAATAGATAATTAACAGAAATACAATGTAAATACTTTGAAAATATATTTTGCTATATGAATGCATATAGCTAATAAATATTAGCACAGGAGTGATAATAGACTAATTAGTCAGTCATACTTCAAATATCTTGGTTGAATTTTTACGTATATGTTGTATCAGCCCCTGATTAAAAATAGTACGGAAAACTAAAACGTAATGTGGGTTTTAGGTAATCGTAGAAAATTGCAAACAATTGGAGAGCATTGGTCTATCACGGTGCAAGGTTCCACCCACTACACTGCAGCTTCTCACTAGCTGTGACAATCTCAAAGGAATTGATCTCTCACACGTAGAGGTTAGTAGGTTGTTCTTACCTTTTATTAGAGACGACGGTCATCTATTTCCCAAAAAATGTGTACTTAGATGTGCACATTTACACTGACAAAGTAATAGTTGTGAGCATAAACTCAGACTAACCTGTCATCGTGAACATATGTATATCTAATATATATTTGAGTTCGTATGTATCTATCTATCGGGCGGTTTGGCCGCCTATAGGGAAGATACATACATACATACGCTTCACTCCCCGGGTATAAGAGATGGCCCTGTGAAAATTGCATCCAGATTTCCTAGCTGAAAAAAACCTGCCAAACCGTCAAACTCACCGAAAAATCCGTGAAAAACCCCTCAATTCGTGAATCTTCACACAATGTCAGCACTGACTGTACAGTGCTGCCACACAGAAAAATCGATCACTCATTCCATCAGCTGCTGTATTGTGAAACCGAAACCGATACTAAAACAGGCACAACCAGGAACCTGTTCAGGGGTTACGGCCACAGGCACTGGGAGGATATATAGTGTATATATTTATGTGTCAGTGTGCGCGCAATGGCGGCGGCGTGTGTTACAGTTGAAACGCTCCAAGTGCCTGTGGTTACGACTGCATTGTTTAATCAAGAGCTTGAAATGAGAAGTGCAACCCATTTGTACATGTGTTAGAATAACTTTTCTTATTTACACCATATTACTATTATATTCCAGGGGTTCTACGTTGGGTTGTGCTGTCATATAAATGTCATACGTAACCGTTTTTACCATGCTTATTATCTCATTAGACTGATTTGTAAATATTTATAGAGATTCACTATAGTTTAGTATGAGTATCATATAGTGTGAGAGATTACGATTGCTCAAAACATCAACGCATAAAGACGCGTACCAAGTGAGTAAACATTCTTTTATAATTACAAATTTCCCCACTTGCTGGCCTGTCTGTATACTATATATCGACTTTTTTTATTCATGCTACGATTTCAGAATCCCATTGTACCATTCGAAAGCTATGCCTTTTCTGATTCAGTAAGAAAAATCCCTTTATTTCATGTGCATGTTGCGCGCCAAGCATTCACTAGACAATATCCAATGCAGGGGCGGCGCCACGGTTTTCAAAATGGGGGGGCCCAATTGAGAGAATGAAGCGACCATGCCGGGGGGCTGAGTTATTCGGGCGCGAAGCGCCCGAGCGAGGGAGCCAGGCGACCAAGCGGGGGTGGGTGTGGGAGGGGGATCCCCCTCCCACGGCAGTGAGCTTTTTCAATTTTGCACTGAAATGGAGCGATCTGGTGCACATGGAAGGTGAAAATTTCAAATTTTTAAATGGAAGAAAAACGGAAAATAACACCTTTTCAGTACATGTTTATGTACATGTCTACTATAGTGAAGTATATAATTTGCATCAATATGAATACATGTAATAGGAATAAAGAATATGAAATAGTGAATCTTTTTCAGGGCGTACAGAAATTTCCATTTTCTTCAACCTGGTAATAGTCAAAAAATAACATTGCTGAATGATATTTAAACACTTAATTATAACATCACTCGACTAGCTTTTATCTTTTAGTTTATCTCATGTTGCTGACAACAGTTTTGCCTTTAAAAACCCAAGCTGCTAGGATATTAGTATTACATAAAGAATACAGCAACTATTTATTAATTAAAAAGACTTAAGAACTAAAGTGGCAAACTAAACTAAAAAATAAAAGGAACTATATAAAATATATACATAAAACTAACGCTCATAGGGTCTATGTACCCCAGGTTACTGCCGGAACGTACCCTGGGTACGGTCCGGTATACCGGCTCTGCGTTATCAGCGTGCGTTAGGCTCTGCGTGCTGCGCGTACTTAAGCTGTGCGTACGCGTGCGTAGTGCAGTATAAGTACAATGTGTGCATATGCAGGCCCCGTAGCTAGCTTTATATTGGGGGGGGGTTCGTTTTTCAATGTTGGTAATTTGCTCGGCAGGGCCGTGTGCAGGATTTGTACCAGGGGTGGGTCTAACCGTAACCCAAAGTTGCGAGCACGCGAAGGGAGGGTCTGGGGGGCCCTCCCCCAGAAAATTTTTCAAATTAGACCCCCTCAGATGCGTTTTCTGCGCGAGCAAGGGGGGTCCGGACTCCCTGGACCCCCCCTGTACACGCCCCTGCTCGGGTGCGAAGCGACCAGGCGAGGGAGCCAAGCGACCGAGCGGAGGGAGGGTGTGGGAGGTGGGTGTTCACTGTTCACCCTCCCGCACGATGGAGATTTTGCAATTATTACACTAAAATGGAGCGACCTGAAGTGAAATTCTTGCAAATTTTCCAAATTTATTTTTTTTGGCTTGGGGGAGGGGGTCGGGGGGGGGGGGGGTTCGTTCGAATCCCCCCGAACCCGCCCTGGCTACGGGCCTGCATATGCAAGTAGGCCTACGGTACTGTATTTCGACCCCTCGATCGAGCCTCCGAAGCACAGGATCAGGCCCCGAAGTCCGCACGGTATTGGGGTAAATACGGCGCGTGTGCATGTCTGTTTGCTATAGAGTAAGGCTAGAGGGACTTCGTCAAACTTTGTAATTTTCGCAGTAGGCCAGATGAAAATGTGGATAAACACTCTCTTTCGCTCTTTCCCCTCTTCCTCTCCTCCTTATTCCCTCTTTCTTTTCTTGCATTTCTTTCCAATCATACAAAATACATATAGACATATATTTTCTGCCAAAAAAGTGGGGGGGCCCGGGCCCCCCGGCCCCCCCCCGTACGCGCCGCCCCTGCAATGGACACAGACCCCACTCGCTGGCCTGTCTGCTATCTATACTATATACCCAATTTCTTTATTCATCCTACGATCTGACAATGGATAGGCTTGTACGTGGTGAGCTCAACAGTTCGAGACGCCAGCAATCTCTACATATTTCCACCAGACAATAACACCCAAACCATTGTTTATCAAGAGGTTTTTCAAATGAAAACTGCAACCCATTAGTACATGCTGTTATAATAACTTTTTCACATTTGCAGCCATATTACTATTATGTTCCAGGGGTTCTAAGTTGGGTTCTGCTGTCATATAAATGGCATACGTAACAGTTTTTCCCCATGCTTATTGTCTTATTAGACTGATTTCTAAATATTGATATTGTGTGCAATGTTATATTGTCGATTTTTACCCCAATGTTCCTATTGTGTCCAATTATTAGTAGTATGAATTAGTAGCACGATTTTACCCAGCGCAGCGGGTACCCGCAGCTAGTCTAATATATATTGAGTTCGTATGTATGTATGTATGTATAGTATGTATGTAATGTATGTATGTATGTTATGTATCTTCCCTATAGGCGGCCAACCGCCCCAAGCGATCTGGATACAATTTTCACAGGGCCATCTCTTATACCCGGGGAGTGTTCCTAGATGAAAAAAACCTGTCAAACCGTCAAACTCAACGATAAATCCGTGGAAAACCCGTCAATTCGTGAATCTTCAAACAATGTCAGCACTGACTGTACAGTGCTGCCACACAGAGAAAAATCGATTCTCTCACCTCATCCGGCTGCTGGTATTGTGAAACCGAAACCAATACTAAAACACACACACAACCAGCACCAGTTTCCACAGTTCAGAAGTAGTACTCACTCAGCTCAGAGGTTCAGTTCAGATGCTACGATCTCAAAATGCATTGTACCATTCGAAAGCTATGCAGTTTCTGATTCAGTAGGAAAATTTCTTCATTTCAATGTGCATGGTTGCGTGTCTCTATCTATACTATGAGCAGCTAATAATGACAATTTTGTCAATTATTAGCTCCTGATACTATATCTTTTATTCATGCTACGATCTCACAAATGGATAGCTGTACGTGGGGAGCTCAAGAGTTGGAGACGCCAAGAATCTCTATATACATATTTGCACCAGAGAATAAGACGAAAAACATTCTTTATCAAGAGGTTTTCAAATGAAAAGTCCAACCCATTCCTACATGCTCTTATAATAACTTTTTGTCATTTACACCATATTACTATTATGTCCCAGGGGTTCTAAGTTCGGTTGTGCTGTCATATAAATGTCATACGTAACAGTTTTTTCGTTTTTCCCATTCTTATTATCTTATTACACTCATTTCTAAAATATTATATATTGTCTGCAATGTTATTGTCGATTTTTACCCAATGTTCCTATTCTGTCCCATTATTATAGTACTATGAATTAGTAGCACGATTTTACCCAGCGCAGCGGGTACCCGCAGCTAGTCTCATATAAGGAATACATATATTCATGCTATCATGTAGCTTATACACCATCTATAAAGGGGACAACGTGAAAATGTCTATTGAAGCATTGTAGTGACATATCGTACACATTCACATACTTGCATTTATTTGTTTATGCATGGGTTAGTGATTACCTCGTACCTATGTCTGAACAAAGTAATATGACAACACTACTAATAATTCGTGCATAACACATTTGTTTGCTTCTCTCCAAAGTCGGCTTCCAAAAGGAAATACCAAAATGCTCTGAAGCAACTACTGGAGGTGAAAGGAAAGAATCTTGAAGATATCAGGCTTGCTGGGTGTTTGTGCAATCTTTCCAAGATCATCATTTATCTCATGGTGAGTACTGCTAGTCATATAAAACTTGCTGAACATCAAAAATGTTTAATTGTCTTTACTCTTAATTAACTGCCATATAAGTTGAGAAGATAGCCAATTAACATTTTCTCTATACATTGTAGGCAGAAGTGTTGATTCATATTTTTTTCAGGCCTACTGTCCAAACCTTGTGTTGGTTGACATATCAAACCCTAGTTATGGCTGGGCAAACATAGACATTGATAAGTTCCAGGCTAGCTGTCCACGTCTGAAGGTGTTCAGGGCAGCAAACACAGCACTCACAGCGACTGGCAATCATATTGAGGTAGCACTTCACAAAATGCAGCTCTTCTAATATTATTCTGCCCTGTTGTTACTGAGTGCGTTTTTATGGTTCTGTTGATAAAAAATTTCTCATTTTCTTTTGTCATGTATTTGTTCTATTGTTACTGAGTACGTTTTTTAAGCGTATTGTTGATAAAAAGTATAAAAATAGCCCAGTATATATAGTAAATACCTAGTGCTTCCTTATGTAATTCAGCCACAACATTTTTTATTGTGTATTTGTCTAAATGTTGTAGTTCATAGTTTGGTTATATTTCTATAGTCACAGTGGTGCGGATTTGCAGAGCTTGAGGAGTTTACAATTCCCAGCTACAAGATTAACGACAACGGCCAGTTTCTCTTCAGGTAGGAAAGGAAGGAAGCGTTCTTCTCTTATATTAATAAAGCAAATTTAAAAGAGAAAATGCATTCATGATGGAAAAAGCTGGATGTAGAGGATACCGAATGCACGGGTTAATGGGACTGCAGACGAGTTTGCCTTTTTCTGCCAGGTTTTTACGAGGGTCTCGCAAATTGAGACTACTCGACATCCGAGATTGCGTGTTCAACCTTGAATCGCTCCTATTTCTGTCGTGCTTGACCATCGAGTATCTCTACTTATCACGCTGCAGCATCACAGACACGACATTGGAGCAGATAATAGCCAGTGTGAGTCAGAATGATTTTTAGGCTTGCTTAAGTGGAAAAATTTCTTTGTACTAATGTGGTTATACTTTAGTTGGCAGAACTCTGCCAGGTATATAATACATGAATAGATAATAACACATAGTAGATAATAACATCAGTGAGATGCTTAATTTTGATGCATGAGGGACTTGTATTATGGGAGATGATACGTGCATTTGCTGTGCACAGATGGCGATGAACCAACTATTCACTCTCCACGTTTGATTATGATGTATTTATCTACTGTGCAGGGTTAGTGATGTGTATGCGTGTGTGTGTTTGTGTGTTCACTGTGCACATTCTGTGATGATGTGTGTGGTTACTGTGCACAGTTAGTGAATATGTGTGCGTTTACTGTGTGTAGTGAGTGATGATGTGTGCGTTTATCGTGTGTAGTGGGTGATGATGTGTGCGTTTAGGTGTACGTAGTGGGTCGCATGACATCGTGTAAGCGTCTCTACGCTGTGTGTAGTTGGACTCGATGATGCTGTGGACGTTTACCGTGTGTAGTGTGACAATGATGCTGTGCGGTTTACTGTGTGTAGTGGGTGATGATGTGTCAGCGTTTACTGTCGTGTCAGTGGGCTGATAGGATGTGTGCGTTTACTGTGTGTCAAGTGGGTGATGATCGCCCTGGCATGCGTATTACATGTAGTGTAGTTTGGTGATGATCGTGTGCGTTTACCCCCCGACCGTGCGTAGCTGGCACTGATGATCAGTGATGCCGTTGACCTGCGTTAGTAGGTGGGCCTGATGATGTGATGCGTTTACACTGTGTGCTAGTTGGTGATGATCGTGTGTATATACCCAGTGTGTAGCCTGGGATGAATGAATGGTGTGCGTATACTCCAGTGCAATGTACGTGGGCTGATGATGTGGTGCCCGTCTACTGTGTGTAGTGGTGGATGATGTGTAAGCGGTTTACTCAAGTAGTGTAGTTGGTGATGATTGTGTGCGTTTACATGTGTGTAGCTGGACATGATGATGTGTGGCGTTTACACTGTGTGTCACGTGGTGATGATGTGACTGCGTTTACTGTGTGTAGTGGGACATGATGGATCAGTTGCGCATTTAAAGCCCGTGTGTAGTGCGGAGGCGATGCATGTGGCGTTTTACTGTGTGTAGGTGGGGCTGGATCGATGTGTGCGGTTACATACGTGTGTGTAGTTGGTGATGAATGTTGGCCGGTTAT